TCGTGGGGCCTGAACTCTGGGCCTGGGCGCTGTCCCTCAGCTCTTCAGCTCAAGGCTAGCGCTCTACCACTTGAGCCACAGCGCCACTTCCGGCTTTTTACTTTTTTCTTATGTGGTGCTGGGAATCGAACCCAGGGCCTCAGGCATGCAAGGCAAGCGCTCTACCACTGAGCCACCATCCCAGACCTATTTTTATCGTTTAATTTCAGGTATTGATTGCCAAATATGCTTATTTTTTTCAGTATTTGAGTACTTGTCTGAGGAGAAGTCTTTTTTTTTTTTTTTTAAACTACAAATGGTTGTATGAAGGAATTACAATTTTTGTAAGGAAGTGCTACGTGAGATAATCTTCTAGCTTAGGATGCACAGTATATCAGCATATTCTGTTGATATTTATGACACTACCCCATTTCAGTTATTTTCCAAATTTTTAAGATTGTTGTTAGGAATCTGACATTATATTAAGGAAAAGTCCCTTATTCAGTTCATAGTACTTAACAATCCAAAATCAGATGAAGGAAAATATATAGTTTTTAAAATGTAAGCTAATTTATACAGAACTGCTAACTTCTGACACATATATTGGAGTATTGGGCAAAACACCACTAATCTTAATGGCACTGATAATCACATTTCTTACTTTATCACCAACACTTTTTAGGAACCATTTAAACATCTAATACACTTGGAAACTACACTATTGAAACTAAAAGAACTCTATAGTACTGTGTAAAGATGATTGGTTTCAAAAGTGTAAGACCTTTTATTATTATTGTTCAATGTTAACTTTTTCTTTGATAACAGAAGCGCTTTTTCATAAGTATTTCCATTATTTTTCATGGTATATGCTATAGGCTTGAGAATAGAAAATTAAGATGGTTAGATAGTAAATAGATGCTCTCTTAGAGTTTACCTCTTTAGTTAATGTTTATTCTTCTTTTTCTTTTCTTTTTTTTTTTTTTGGTCGGTTGTGGGGGCTGAACTCTGGACCTGGGTGCTGTCCCTCAGCTTTTCAGCTCAAGGCTAGCGCCCTACCACTTGAGCCACAGGGCCACTTCTGGCTTTTTCTGCTTATGTGGTGCTGAGAAATTGAACCCAGGGCTTCATGCATGCGAGGCAAGCACTCTACCTCTGATCCACCTTCCCAGGCCCTAGTTAGTGTTTCTTGACCTATGCAATAATATGTCAATATGTGCTTAATGTGCATACTTTGTAAGCAGTCATCTTACTTGTATTCTGAATAGTGGTTAAACATTACACGGTACTCTCCATTTACAGACAGGAAGACAGGCACAGGTGGTTGAGTGCCTTGCCCATGCCATATGGTTAGATGTGGCAGAGCCTGCTTTTTTACAGGCAATCTAGGTTTTGGCTTTATACCTTAGTCATTGTTTTACTTTGAAACTTGTTTTAGCATGTTTTTGAGAACTAGTGACCTTTGAGAATGAGAGACCCAAGTGTTATTTGTGCTTAAAGTACAGTGGGAAAAAAATGAATAGATTAAATTCTGAGTTGAGGCAAATAATGCCTAGAATATGTCCGGTTTTTCTGGGTGGAAAGGTTGGGCTTGAAGTTGATCCTTCCTCTTTATCAATGACTATCCTAACTTTCCTGAAGGTAAGTGTTGGTCTGGGTGCAATTATATGCTTGTGATGCAAGTATTATCTGAATTCTTTAAGCCTGTTTATTTCGGTGCCCTTTAACCAACATTTGTTTTGACTATTTGAGTTTTCAAGTGAGCCTTGCCTTCTGATTGGCTGCTTTCTAGGAACTGGGAAGTTTTCTGTTAAAAGTGCTTTCACAGTAATGGTCAGTGACAGTGGAATCTGAGTTTGAAGCCAAGGGACCAACTGCAGGGCTCTACGTGCTAGGTCCAACAACTCACCCCAGTGTGCCAAATAGACAAGCAGTGGTGGCTGTTGTTATACTGCACTGGCTCTCAAGCATGTCAGCAGATCTTGGGGTACAGGGACTGAGCTTTAGCTTTAAAGAAGAATTGGGGTAGGGTACGGAGTGCATAGTCAGCAGTGCTAGACAGAGTGTGGCCTAGTTGATCATGATCTCAGTTCTGGTTCACAAGGGTTGCTGGGAAATTATCGCTGTCATCACTGGAGGAAGCATTCTGGTTCCCAGGCAGTGATTCCTCTTGCTCTCTGTGCAGCCTCTTCATCATAGGTAATTGTCCTTACCTGAGGGGGTGTCTGTTCTTTGAGGCTCATCTGTTCCTTTCCTTGGAGGTAGTTTTAGTCCCTTATTACAAAGATGTTATTGATCAGACCTGTCCTTCCTGGAGCCCAAGATAATTGCAGGGGAGGGAGACACAGGTAAAATGGAGGCAGGGATGCATTTCTTCTGCTTGTAGTTCTGCTTGTGGGTTCAAATGAGGAGTCAGTGCTTTTTAGCAAAAGAAGTTACTTACCTTGGTAACAGCACTGTACTTTCTTTAGTTTAAGATGTAATTGAGTTTGGGGCATAAAGTATACATATGAATCCTTAATTGTATTATTTTGCCTGCTGTAATAAAATGACTTATTAAACTTAAGTTGGAAAATGTTACAGAAATCTGTGTGAATGTAACTAACTTTCGTTTATCTTTTGTCTGTAGAAAAATAACATTTATAAACTTGTGTTTTGTTTGGATTGTTTCTAAACAAAGTCATATCCATGTGAGTGAAGCTAATTTTTCAGAGATTCAGATAAAAGATCTGAAGCCATATAGATGAGAAAAAGATTATCCTGTTTTCACATCTTATTTTCACTTTTGAAATAAGGCAGCAACCATAGCATATAGAAAATGCCAGGGTCCTGTGGAAAATAGTTTAGTAATTTAGTTTACAGAGTAGCCTCCATTGGGGTTAGCAGTCTGAGAAAAACTTAAAAAAAGGAAAGAACTGTAACAAAAGCATCAGCATAGAAGATTATGATTCACATAGACAAAGTCTTGTGCTGCCTGGCCCTAATATAGTGTATAACTGGAAGTTGACTGTAGTAATTGCAAAAAAAACCCCAAAAGATGTATATTTTAAATAGATTAAATAAATAACAAATGGTTGAATTCTGTTACGAGTTTTTCTCATTTTAACTTGATTAACACCTAATTTGGTTTCTTTTACTGCTTTGATTTCCAAAACAATAAGCTAAAGTAAATTTTCATTTGGTCTTTATAAGGTATGTGAATGGTCACGCCAAAAAACATTATGAAGATGCACAAATACCCCTAACCAACTATAAGAAATCTGAAAAACAAGAAAAAGCTCAGCACACAGTGTGTATGGATTGCAGTAGCTACAGTACATACTGGTAAGCTAATCTTTTCTGGAAATTGCATTTTTTACAGTGTGCATGCAAATATACTCTTCTCTGCCCTATGCAGGTAATACTTACCCTGCTATTCCTTCCGGACTCCAGGAGCAGGAGCCATTGGGTACACTGTGCTTACTCATTTAGATTTCACTTTGTTCCTTTCAATAGCTGGGCCTCATCTTCTCTCCTACCCTGCTCCGTGTCCATCCCAGTGGACTTTAGGATATGGAAAAAAGAATACATTTGTGTGATTGTTCATTAAAACTTTGCTTCTAAGTTGGGTGCTGGTGGCTCATACCTGTGACCCTAGCTACTCAGGCTGAGATCTGTGGATCACGGTTCAAAGCCAGCCTGAGCAGGAAAATATGTGAGACTCATCTACAATTAACCACCCCCAAACTGGAAGTAGAGTTGTGGTTCAAAGTGGTAGAGCACTAATCTTGAGCACAAAAGCTCAGGGACAGCACCCAAGTGGAGTTCAAGCCCCATAACCAACAACAACAAAAGACACAAAAAACTTTGCTATCTCTGTATTTTTGGCTGGGGGGTGGGGCGGTAAGGGGTGGTGGATGGATGATGGTCCTAGAGTTTGAACTCAGGGCCTAGATGCTATCTCTTAGATTTTTCACTCAAGGTTGGTGCTCTGCTATTTGAGCCACAGCTCTACTTCCAGTCTTTTGGTGGTTAATCGGTGATAAGACATGGACTTTCCTACTCAGGCTGGCTTCAAACCTTGATCCTCAGATCTCAGCCTTCTGAGTGGGTAGGATTACAGATGTGAGCTACCAGCACCTAGCACTAGAGTGTGTGTGTGTGTGTGTGTGTGTGTGTGTATACTCATTCAAACAACAAAGCCCTCCATGTTCCTATTGTCCAGTTATATGTTGTCATATAATCCTAGAAATTTTAACTTATTTGGAAGATTTTTTTTTTTTTTTTTTTTGTCAGTCGTGGGGCTTGAACTCTGGGCCTGGGCACTGTCCCTGAGCTCTTCATCTCATGGCTAGCGCTCTACCACTTTGAGCCATAGCGCCACTTCTGGTCTTCTGGTGGTTAGTTGGGAAGTAAGAGTCTCTGGGACTTTCCTGTCCGGGCTGGCTTCGAACTGTGATCCTTGGATCTCAGCCTCCTAAGTAGCTAGGATTACAGGTGTGAGCCTTCAGTACCTAGTTTTGCCCTCAATTCATAAAGGTTGTTGATACTGAAGAGGAAAAAAATGTCAAGCCATTTGAAGGAGCCTTTTTTGTTGTTGTTGTCGGTCATGGGGCTTGAACTCTGGGCCTAGGCACTGTCCCTGAGCTCTTCAGCTCAGGCTAGCACTCTACCACTTGAGCCACAGCGCTTCTGTGGTTAATTGGAGATAAGAGTCTCATGGACTTTCCTGCCTGGGCTGGCTTTGAACTTCTATCCTCAGATCTCAGCCTCCTGAGTAGCTAGGATTATAGGTGTGAGTCACTGGTGCCCAGCTTGAAGGATCCTTTTTAAGATACTTTTTTTTGGGGGGGGTGGCAAGCAGTCTTTGAATGTCACACGAAGATAGAGCTGAACAGAAATAGAAATTTAAAGTCCAAATACCACTTTTTGTTTCTTTGGCTTTTTTTTTTTTTTAATAGGAAGTGTTGAGATAGCTCAGCCTGACCTCAAAGTCCTCCTCCCTCTGCCTGCTGGGATTCAGGCGTGTTTTGCACACCTTTTGGTTTGCACTTTCTACCAAAGTTGTATGTCAGTTCTTTACTGTATCACTCAGTGCATAATTGTAGAACGATGCCCATTCAGAGGAAGAAAAAAAGCTCAGTGATTTTCTAGGGCTTTCAAATTTTTACAGGTTTGACATTATTAAGATTTGGCTAGTGAGCCAAGCATGTTGGCCTATAATACTAGCTAGTCTAAAGGCTTTCAGTTTAATGTCAGCAAATGCCAAAAGTTAATGAGACCCTTCTCCCCCCTTGCATCTCAATCAATGAGAGCTTTATGATGTAGGCTGACATCCCAGGAAGTGTAAATAGAATTGCTGACCAGGACAGCCTGGGCATAAATATGAGACCTTATTTGAAAATAAAGCAGAAAGGGCTGGAGATGTGGCTGAAGTGGTAGAGCTCCTGCCTAGCCAGCACAAGACTCAGTTCAAATCCTACAATTGTCAAAACCTCCCAAGTTCGCTATTAACTAAACTTCTTAAGGTTTATTCAAACAATGACTCTTTCCGTAATCCTTTATCTGGAAGGTGTTGAGACCTAGAAGAGAGATCAACTATAGGTAGATGAATATTTCACTAAAAGTGAAAAAAGCCTTTTTTGAAAATTTCACACAGAGATGAGCACTCAGTTGTTATTTGCTGTTATGAAACATACCTTAACCAAAGTTAAACACTGGCCAGGCTGTTATGTCATTCCCTTAGTGTGTGTGAGTGTATGTATGTGTGTGTGTGTGTGTGTGTGGGTGAATCTGTGTGTTTTGGTGCTGGGGATCAAACCAAGGGCCATGCATATCTGTCTTTTTTGTTGTTGTGGTTGGTTGGTTGTGAGGCTTGAACTCAGCCACTGGGCACTGACCCTCAGCTCTTCTGCTCAAGGCAAATGCTCTACCACTTTGAGCCACAGCGCCACTTCTGGTTTTCTGGTAGTTAATTGGAAATGAGAGTCTCATAGATTTTACTGACCAGGGTTCGCTTTGAACTGCAATCCTCAGATCTCAACCTTCTCAGTAGCTAGGATTACAGGTGTAAGCCACCAGCACCTGGCTCTCTTTTTTTGGGAGGGGGGGTGAGGAGGGGCTTGAACTCTGGGCCTGGGCGCTCTCCCAGAGCTCTTTAGCTCAAGGGGAGCACTCTACCACTTGAGCCACAGCGCCACTTCCAGTTTTCTGGTGGTTTATTGGAGATGAGTCTCATGGACTTTCCTGCCTAGGCTGGCTTTGAACTACCACCCTCAGATGTCAGCCTCCTGAGTAGCTAGAATTACAGGCGTGATCCACTGATGCCTGACTGGCTATCTTAATTTACTTTTTTTTTTTTAATGTGTAATGTAATGGAATTCTTTTAATAACTTTTATTTACTTGGCCTAATAAGCCAGCTCAATGCAACTTTACACCAGTGAGATGACAGATTCTCCTCAACCTCCTGCTCACCTTCCTAACACTGCCACCTCTCTTAATTTACTTTTGAGCCACATCCCCAGCCCTCCATTAGCTTTCTTCTTTTTCCCTTCTCTTTTCCCTTAGGATAGTTGTATACTACTAGAGTGACCTATGACATAACTACCAGATTTAGAGAACCATGCTTTCCTATATAGCCACTGTATTTCTGCTTCTAAGACAGCAGAAGTTAAGCTCGTTCTTGAAATATCTATTTTGATGGCTTTACATTTTACATTTTAGTTGAGTACTTTTTTTTTTTTAAAATTAGACATTGGAATTTAATTTGTTTCACATTGATAGAGTATGTTAAAGCAGATGTGATTTCACGGCTGAAGTGCAGTTGAATGGAAAATCTTGAACTTAGGGCGAGTACGCCACGGCAAAGCCTCCTGGCCACTTGCCAGCCTTTTGTGTGATGTTGCACAGAGCTGCGAGTGTGTGGGTACCCGGAGTGTTAGCTGCAGCTGGGCGCTTGCATTATCGCCTCGTTTGTGGGTTTCAGAGGAAAATGCCAGGGAATCACCGGTGGCAGGGTACAACCCTCCTAAAAAGGATTTTTTTTTAAAAAAAAAACAGCTGTAAGCTGAAGAAGCTGTAGTTTAAATTAGTATTTTCCCCATACCTCATCTCTTACTAAGAAACAAAGAGATTTCCTCTTTCTTTCTGTGAGCTGTTTGTCATTTCCCAATGTTGTTTAGTACTCTGACTTCAATTTAGGAATTTTCCTTGTAGCTAGCTAGACTGGTTGCAGAAGTAACAATATTGGTGTGTTAGGTTTAAGGTCTTTTAAGTATTTTGATTTCAGTGTTTAAGCCTCTTTTACTGTGGGCTCTGCTCTAGAGAAGTTGTAAGACACTGCAGCTGCAGTTTTTCTTTTCTTTCCCAAGAGTCCCTGCCCTGGCCTTTCTTTGAAACCACGGCTGGTTGCTTGCCCCTTCTCCTTTTTTTTTTTTTCCAGGTAAGGGATAGGTTTATTCATCATTCTGGCTGGCACCAGGCCATGTTGGCATTCCACGCAGCTGGGAAAGCTGGGAAAGCAAGCTGGGAAAAAGCTGGGAAAGAGAGCTGGGAAAAAGAGAGAGCCGGGAAAGAGCTGGGAAAGAGAGAGCGTCTGGGCCTGGGTTCGGCCTTATCTAGGGTATGGGTGGAGAAAGGTGTGGCCACATCAAATTCAGATATGACCTCAGCAGATGCAGACATGCCCTCTTCCAGGTGTGCCAGTTGCCTAGGTAACGCAGGTACTGGGCGGAGACTTTGTTACGAGGAGGGTGGAGTCTGCTTGCCATCTAGGAGCGGACTTTACATTCTAGCCTTTTAATAATCATGAAATAGGGCTCAGATTCTCTCTGGCTACTTCCTGCTGACAAGGGGTATCTACAATAGAGGTAAAAGGCTGGAATTTGGTTCCCTCCCAGAGAAGGCAGTGAGCAGCAGCTGTCCCTTGGTGGTGTGAGTCCTTAGATGAAATCTGAAGAAGTCTCTTGAGGCATTGAGGGGCTGGAAAAAAAAATACTAGAGAGCTAATAAATGTCAAGAGGAAGGACTTGGGGCTGAAAATGTTGGTAGAAATGTCCCTAGCTACTTCTGACATCTGGCAACTAGGTAGAGAAGTCAGGTGACAAAGGCAAGAATATAAATTCCTGTTCAGTTAATAATAGGTAGACAGGTATAGATACTGGATGGGCAGGCTTCTTACTTGTACTGACCTCCCTGCTCTGGTTAATTTTGAAAGGGCAGGCACAAAGTAGCTGATGTGACATCATCTCCTCTTACTCCTCTCTATGTTCCTTTGTTCCCCAGACTGGCTGAGTCTAGGTGCTCGTTGCTGGGATGGCTTGTCCCAGTTGGTACTCAAGGATGTTTGAACTCAAGGCCTGGGCACTATCCCTGAGCACTTCTGCTCAAGGCTAGTGCTCTACTACGTTGAGTTACAATACTTCTTCCAGTGTTTGGCTGGTTAGAGATAAGTCTTGAGCCATGCTTCCAGCCTGGCTCTTTGCAGGTTAGTTGGGAGTCTTAGGGATTTTCCAGCCCTGGCTGGCTTTGAACTGCAATCTTTGCCACAAAAGCCCTTTATTATTTCCAATTAAAGCAACAAGGAGATCAAGTAGAATAAGTAGAGTTTATCTGGTTCTTATCAAGAATTGCCAATAAATATTCTGAAATGACAAAACGCATTGGATGTGAGAATCTTAGCACAGATATGCCCAATATTTTATTTTATTTTTTTTTTTTCATTTGACTTGCCCAATATTTTAGAGTCAGGTAGTCAGTACCAGAATATACAACACACGCAAAGGCAAAACTCAAAACCTAAAATTTTGACAACAACGTTTAGACATCTTTGCTAACAAAGTACATCAGATGGTTGGGCCTCAGTTACCAGGGCTTATGAAAAGAGCAACTTGTTAGCAAGGCACCTTAGAATCCATGGAGTAGTAAGCTTGGTGGAAGGTTAAGGGTCAGATGGGGCCAAACCCTTAACCCACCATGTGGCCAAGATGGCGAACTCAAGATGGCGAATTTCTGAAAAAATGCAAAGAAACCCTGAACAAATAGATCAAGCCTACATTGGCTAGCCTTTGAGAGGGAACCTAGCGGGGGGGGGGGTCCCTGGGACCCAGCCTGCATCACACTCTTCAAGGCACAAGCCAAAAAGTTGTAGAAAAAAGGAGAGAAAGTTGGACATGATTAACAGAGAGAGCAAAGAGAGCCTAAAAGTAAACAGACTTCTGCCCATGTACCATTGCAGAGACAAAAATTGTCTAGATCTGAGAACAGCATAAACAATTAGGCGCTCTGGCTTTCCAGGGAGCGCAGGAGGCATTTCAGAGGGGTTTCACCGCTCGGGCGTGATTCGCAGCACCCCATTAAATGTGTAGGAGAGTCAGTCTGGTGAGTGAAGAAGAGCTGACCAGGCAGAAGCGGCGTCATGACTTCCCCCAGAGCCCTCTAGAGAGAAATGGCCAAGCCCCCAAAACCAAGCGTCTTCAGCTTCAGAGGTGACTGGCCTTTCAGCTAAAGGCCGTAGGAGCTCTCTGGTGTGGCATCATGTCTGGACAGAGACTGAACAACAGAGAACCATAGAGAGTAGTTTCACTCACCAGAATAGAGAAGTGGTGTGGACGTGGGTGTGAAGGCCAGCAGTGGTATCGATGTGCTGTGTCCACAGCAGACAGACGGGTTCACAAAAGGCCGTCAGAACTGTGGGTATTCCTTGTGCAGAAAAGGGGGGAAAACAATAAAAAGAAAAAACAAAAAAAGAAAGAAAAAAAAATGGAGAGGAATCCCACCTATCCTGACTTTAAGCCCTTCCCGGGTTTTGGCACCATTTATGTTAGGTTTTTAAAAAGAGGTAGCCAAGTAAGAACAGCACCACGCATGTGGTATTCAGGTAAGGGGTAGGTTTATTCAGTAGACCTGCTGGGACCAGGCCAGGTTGGCACTCCACGCAGCTGGCAAAGAGCTGGGAAAGAGAGAGCTGGGAAAGAGAGAGCCGGGAAAGAGCCCCCTTCTCCCTCTTAACTCCACTTGCATGGATGGAACTGAACTTACATCTCTTTGCTTACCTGTACTTCCTGCTGCATGCTAGCTGTTGTAAATGTCCATGGGACTGGCAGAAACCAAATCCTAGATCTTTGCCTTCCCTCTACTACTCAGTGTCGTGTGTAGAGTAGATAGTGTATTGAAAGATTGAGTTTTGTTATCTTTCAAAAATAGGGAAGCACCCTAAGACATTTTTCTGTGACAGACACCCTTGGCAGGGCAGTCCCCCTCATTTTTGTGTAAGCAAAGAGAGGAGCACAGGCTGTATTCACCCAGCACAGCAACACAAAATAGGTCACTGCTTTAGAAGAGGGAAAGCAATGCCAAAATCACCGTCACGAGTAATCCTGACTTGAACATACTGTCATGAAGCTGAAAGGTCAATGAAGTTAAAAAAAAAAATCTTCTCAAGATTTTCATAACTGCTAGTGTTCTGTTTACTGTTTCCCATCTAGTTTCCTCCAGTAACCATACAATGGAATTGTGTGTGGTAGCCAATACTCTGACTGAAAGAAGCAAAGATTAAAATTAGAAACTTGTGTATAAGCAGATATTGAGTTGTTAGGCTTAAAATGCTGAAGATGTAATTTCCTGACATCTGACCAAGTCCACCTATATCTTTATGAACAGTAGCCAGATTTCTGAGAATTGCTATGAAAAGAATATTAAAAACAAATGATCAGAATGTCTCCCTCCTGGCAGGTAATGTTTTAAAGCATTCTTTTAAATATATATTATGAAATATGAATCAATTCAGTTGTTTAAAAAGTAGCTTATATTCGAGATCTTAAATATTTTGAACAAATATCAATTTAAATTAAGAGAAGTAAAGCTGTCATTTGTGGGATTAAAATGATCCTTCATCATTTTCTAAGGTAGTTGTGATAAAAATGTAAAAAGAAAAAAAATCTTACATAAACTATTGGGCATATAAATCTGCCCCTCCCTTACCCACCTTCTTTCTCTTCCTTCCCCTACTTGGAAATATTACTATGTAATTCAGGCTAGTCTCAGACTCAGCCATCCTCCAGCTTCAGCCTCCTTGCATGCATGAGGCCCTGGGTTCAATTCCTTAGCACCACATAAGCAAAAAGAAAAAAAGCCGGAAGTGGCGCTGTGGCTCAAGTGGTAGAGCGCTGGTCTTGAGCTGAAGAGTTCAGGCCCCACGACCAGACCCTCCCCCCCCCCAAAAAAAAAAAGAAAGAAAAATACTCCAGGCTAGCCTAGGCATAAATGTGAGACCCTGTTTGAAAAGTGCCTAAAGCAAAAAAGATTGGGGTGTAGAGTGCTTACCTATCTAGTGAAAGGCCCTGGTTTAAGCCTTAGTACCATAAAAAAAGAAAAGAAAAACAAAGAAAAACTTAAACATATACTTTCACGGACTTTCCTGCCTGGGCTGGCTTTGAACCGCGATTCTCAGATCTCAGCCTCCTTAGTAGCTAGGATTACAGACAGGTGTGAGCCACCGGCGCCCGGCCTTAGTGAAGATCTGATACTGTTCTTTTGGGGGGCACTTTTACATAAAAGGTAGTTTTTGTAGTAGTGCACATGCTTTCCTATATAAAAATAAAGAACTTGTTTCTTTACTGTTACTTAAAAAAAATATAGGTTTCTTTGTGTGATTCTTTCTTGTTCTAGATGAATACTAGTATTTGGAGTGGTTTTTGCTTTTGAGCATTTTATCAAAATCATGGCTAACTTTATGGAAACATAAAACGAAAATTTAAGTGAGAGTTCTGTATAGGTACCAAGTGCCTTAAGCCCAGATTTTCAAACTAATTGGTACCCTGTTAACATTTATCTGAAAGGAGCAAAAATTAAACAGTTTCTTTGGCTTAAGGAATTAAATAAATTGCCCTCTTTCTAGTGGCTTGATGCTAGGAAGATGATCGAGGATGTGGAAGATTGCTTTTGCTATTAGTGGCAAGTGCTAGGGTGACTGTGAAAACCTGAGAATGAGACAGAGAAATCCTGATGGATATGAAGGTGGACACAGGCTAAATGGTGACCTGACCTAGGTAATGAGGTAGTTAAAATTATCAAAAAGATTTACGTTCTTCCAGTTGAGCCACAGCTCCACTTCTGGCTTTTTGGTAGTTAACTGGAGATACAAGACTCATGAACTTTCCTGCCCAGGCTGGCTTCATACCTCAGTCTTCAGATCTTAGCCTCCTGAGTAGTAGGATTTCAGGCATGAGGCATCAACACCAGGAATTTCTTTAATTTTTTTAGTTGTGAAGTTATATGAAGTTTTTATTTTAATTCTGTTACTGATGGTGTCCTGTTAACTAATTACTGTGTGTCCACGTTTTGTTTACTCAGAATGACAATATTATTTTCATTACTTTTTGGTAGTTATGACAAGTTGTTTTATATAAAGCTGCATCTTAAAAAAAAAAATCTTGGTGCCAGCCTGTGTTTTTGTTAAAATTGGCCTTATTCCAGCAAAATGCTACTGTGCAAGTTAGAGTTTATGATGTGTGACTCTATTTTTTGTTTAGTTGCTAAAACTCATCTTAGACATTTTTCTTCAAAGCATTTATCAGTTTCAGCCACTGTTGGATCCTTTTTTCCCAGTGCCTCAGAATAAAAGGCACATTATTCTAACTAATCTGAATTCCATGTGTTTTAATTAAATTGTTTAAATTGCATAGCTTTTAGTTTTTCTATTCAGATCTTCCAACAGGCTAACTACCTGTTCTTAGCCTTGGCCTTAAATCTCTTCTCCACCGAATTCTCCATCAATGTGGGTTGGGAATGACCCCTTAAAGCTTCAGGCAGAGGGCTATAAGAAAAAAATTAGTGCTTTTTATTTCCTTTTCCATGTATTAGGCCCACTAAAAAGAATGTAACACATGTAGTGGCTTATTTTCATTTTCAAAGAAGGCATTGAAGAGCTTTTAAATAGAATATGGAAAGAAGCTAATGCTCATGGCACTCATTGCCTACGTGGCTTTGAAAAGGCTTATAAAAAACATTCCACTGTGGTTCCAAATCCTTTTAGGCTTTCCACAAGCAATAGAGCAGCAGCTGCCTGGGCAGCAGAGCTGGGGATCACCCTGAGCACCCCGGCCTCACAGTGAGGTCCTCACCTCATGTTCATCTCTGTTTTCCTTGTAGTTACCGCTGTGATGATTTCGTGGTTAATGACACCAAGCTGGGACTAGTACAGAAAGTCAGAGAACACTTACAGAACTTGGAAAAGTAAGTAGTTGGTCTTTGGAAGGATAAGAGGATGCAGTGGGTTGGGTGGGGCTGGGAAGGTGGCTCAGTGGTAGAGCGCTTGCCTTGCATGCCTGAGGCCCTGGGTTTGATTCCTCAGCACCACATAAGCAGAAAAATAAAAATAAAATTGTTGGGTGAGTTCTATAACTTTAACATGTTTAAATGGGATTGAAATGTTATCAAGCCTTGGTATTGATGTGTGAAATTTGCTTATATTTTGTTAATATCCATCATAAGCTATAGGGCCCCAGAGCCTGTTTTTTAGGTACCACTTACAAATTTAGAAGCTAGTCAGTGTATCTGCAAGGGGAATTTTGAGAGTGGAAAGAAAGAGCAGAAAAAGATAAAATCTATTTATGAAGTTACTTTTGGTATTCAAAAATCTCTTGTCAAATATATTATGAGAGCTGCCTAGAAAGATTAAAGTTTAAGGAAAATTAGGTTTAAATACCATACTATATAGCACAGGATCACAGTTTTTTCATTCATTTTTTTTGTTAGGGTTAGCACATACAATTTGAAATTTATAAAGAGGTGTGAATGCTTTGTGATCATAAAGAAGTTGAAGAATTTATGTGAATATTTTTCTTGCTAAGCCAAATTGCTTATTCAGATAAAGGCCACTGGACTTCAAATTAAAGCAATAAACTAAATCAAATAGCAATAGCCTTTGAGCCTGAACAGATAGAAGCGTGGCTCTGGAATGATTGCTTACGCAGTGAAATCTGTGTAAATCACTACACATCAGGTGGCATCTAAGTTATTTTTGCCAGTTGATGCATAGAAAGTTGGGTGGGTGAGAACCCACCCAAAGCAGGCCACCTTGGGTCAGCTTAGAGCCAGCATAGCATTCAGCCGATACCAAGCCACTGTGCAGTGTCTGCTCACCAGGCTTTTATGCACTGCCTGGCCAGATTATAGAGCTGATAAAGGAAGATCCTAATTAAAACTCTTTGGGGTCAAGTACTTTTGTCATCTTGGGCATTTTCTGTTTTAATTAGCGTCCCATGTATGTAGGATTAGAGACAGAGGCATCATACGAATCTAAATATTCATTTTGCTGCAGTCACTCATGATAAACTGTGAAGGAGGAGAGTCCCGAGGAGGTTTGTGTAGGAACACCTACACCACTGTAAAGAATTTCTGCCTGTAATCCTAGCTACTCAGGAGGCTGAGATCTGAGGATCGAGGTTCAAAGCCAGCCCAGGCAGAAAAGTCTGTGAGACTCTTATCTCCAATAAACCACTAGAAAACTGGAAGTGGCGCTGTGGCTCAAGTGGTAGAGTGCTCGCCTTGAGCTGAAGAGCACAGGGACAGCACCCAAGCCCAGAGTTCAAGCCCCACAACTGACCAAAAAAAAAAAAAAGAATTTCCATGCTTGTTTCTGTTGGGGAAGTTAAGTAGCTACCAGAATGTTTTCTCTGCCTCTGAGAAAGCCTGCTCTCTCAATCCAGATTAAGTTGGTCAGACCTAAATTAAAGAAAAAAAAGGGCCTTCCAAAATGTGTGTTTATAGTACACAGGGTGGGAATATCTGGCCTTTGAGTTGTATAAGGCCTGAAAAGTCATTTGGTACTTGATGAGACAGACATGGCTTCCTGTTGTCTTTTTGTATTGAGGATTAGGCATGGCCCACCAGTGATACTATAAATATCCAAAAAGTCCTTGGCAGAATAAGGACCTTACTAGGAACTATTCTTTCTGTTGACTACTCCATCAGGTAAAAGGTGTCACAGAGCCCTGTATACCCTTCTACTTGTAATCTGTGTCCTCTGATGTTTCACAGACATAGGCTTTAATGGACCAGCTGTGGGATCTATGATTGCACTTGTGTTTATTGTATGCAGCACCAGGGTGATGGGTACAGCAGGAGGAACCTGAGGTGATGGGGGAGTTTCCTGATTTGCTTTCTCTAACGCCACTTGAGCATTTAAAAAGCTGTACATGCCACTGACAAACTGAATGTTAAGCTTCTGTTAAACTCAACTAAGTTTAAATAGCATATGTAGTGAGCGAGTGGCTACCATAGTAGTGTGGATCTAGAAGAGTGTGTCATTTTGAAGGTGAAATGTAAGAACTTTAGTTAAAAATCCCCAAGTGCATGATCATTAAGTAGTACAGACACTGTTGGCGATTCGACCTCTTCACTTGAGAATTTTGTGAAGGATTCTGTGGAATACTATACTGTATGGAACTGGCCTGTTCATTTTGTAGTCTGAGAAAGACACGGTTCAGGAGAATATTTTAAAGATTTGAAGCAGCTGTCACTAGATTTGATGTTCCAAAGACACTGTAGTTCATGTGGAAATTCTAATAATTATGTCTTTACATTGGATTAGTTTGGTACCTTTAGAAATTGGGAAAGAATGGGCTGGGGAAGGTGGCTCAGTGGTAGAGTGCTTGCCTTGCATGCATGAGACCCTGAGTTCGATTCTTCAGCACCACATAAATAGAAAACGCCGAGGGACAGCACCAAGGCCCAGAGTTCAAGCCCCATGACCAACCAAAAAAAAAAAAAGAAAAAAGAAAGTGGGAAAGAATTGATAAACTTAAAAGTCTGTGTTTAATAATAATTTTGTACTTCAGATTAATTCTCCTGATACATAGTAATTTTAGAGTGATCTTTTGGAAATAGGAATAACTTTCTGATTAAGTTTAAGTAAAGTATCTTCCATCAAGAAGAAAATTTGAATTCAAGGTTTCTAACCTAGTAAAGACTTGTTTTAGAATATTCTTTAGCGTATAACTGATCCAGATAAATTTATATATGCCTATATTCCCATAGTTTTCATTCCTGTCGGCTGATATCATAATCTAATAAAACACATGATTGAAAAATGGCACCTTTTCCAAATTAAGAAAGAAGTAACATATGATTTGAGGCTGTTAAATGTTACCCAAGGGAATGGGTCCTCTCATTTTCAAAACTTGACGATTAATTAGGCAGACAGAAGGTGGTGGGGAGGGCGTATCCTGCATCTGCCACCAGCTTTGCAGGGGGCAGCACACAACCCTGCCACCGGGTGGAGGGCGGGGGTTGGGGAGCAATGAGGTTTCTTGTTTAAACTGCAAAAAAACTTGTAGGTCTGCCTGGTCACTTGACAGCCTGATGAAGCAGGCAAGGACACCAAGAACAGCTTGAGTTTACTCTTTAGCCTACGCTGTAGAATGTGTATATTAATGCCTTTTTGGACAATCTGTTTGTGTTTTAATAGCTCGGCTTTCACAGCTGACAGGCACAGGAAAAGAAAACTTTTGGAAAACTCATCACTAAACAGCAAGTTATTAAAAGTAAATGTAAGTAATTATATTCAAGGATAAGAATTAGTTTAGGTCAAATGACTATTTTGTTAGACCTCTTCTTTGCATTTACTGTTACCTGTTGTGTGAACCATTAAATTTGTGTGTGCCTTGACTTGGCGTGTTAGAACTGTTAGCTGCTGTAAGTCCTGTCAGCATTGCCACTGTGCCCCTTCTGGTACCTTAGAAAGCAGGTCACACTCAGTACCTACCATACATCTCAGCACTTGTCTTGGGGATCCTGGCTTCCTTCTGTGAAAGATCCCTAGTGTTAAATTCTAGGCTTTGAATTTGTGATGTTTTCTTTCTTGGAACTTCATTGATAAAACTTCACATAAAAGAAAACATATTCTCATTTGGGAAACCATAATAGATGGCAGGATAGTAAAATATTTTGAAATGGACCTGTCTTTTTGCCCTGCATTTGCTCCATGTTGCCATGCCGTATTTGAACATGTACTCAGTGAGAGTCTTAAGATTTTTGTGGAAGTAGGCTGAGTGCTGGTGGCTTGTGCCTGTAATCATAGCTACTTAGGAGAATGAGAGCTGAGGATTATGGTTCAAAGCCAGCCTGGGCAAGAAAGTCTCTTTATCTCGACCTCATCCCCAACCCCCCCCCCCCCCCCAACAACAACCAGGAAATGGAGCTGTGGCTCCAGTGGAAGAACTCTAGCCTTGAGCAAAAGCAACTTAGGGATGGCACCCAGGTCCTGAGCTCAAACCCCAGGACTGGTACACACAAATAAATTGTGTGGAACAAACACCTAAAGAGCTCTTGTGGCCACCTGAGCAATGGGCAGAGCTGCTTTGGATTGTATTGGTAGCTTGTTCCTTGTGTAGTGTTCAGACATCGTGGTATCATGGTCCATTCATAGAACTAAGCAGACTAACTGAGACCTCAGTCTTTAGAAGTACAGGTACTTTTTTTTTTATTTACAGTTTATATCCCACTACTAAGAAAACAGACATTTATTTTTCTGTTTTTCCCCCTTTGTATTACATAATTCATGGTTTTGTGGTATTTGCCAAGGCTGTTTCCTCATAAATCTTCCAATATGATACTCCCATTTAGCTCAAAAATGCCTTGTAAAAACAGCCATGTGCTCATACAGAGGCTAGAGAGCGTGTTTGAAATATTCACTGGACAGATTGGCTTGGTGCTAGAGTTTCAAGAGGCCTTTGCTTTCACTTTGATGTTTGAAACAGCCTTCCCTTGCATTGCTGGTGCCTCATTCTATTTTACAGGGAAGTACCACTGCCATTTGTGCGACTGGCCTTCGGAATTTGGGCAACACGTGTTTCATGAATGCCATTCTTCAGTCACTCAGGTAACATACAACAGAGCTTATGTACTGACATTACAGGTTAAGAGCAAAGGCTTTGGATTCAGATCTTGTCTCTGCCACAAATGCTAGTTTTATTTATCGGAGAAATTTACCTTAATGCCGTGTGCCTTCCTTTCCTCATGAGTAAAATTGGTTACTACCTCTTGGGTAGTTGAGAAGATTAAATAATATAATTGTCTAAAGTGCTTAGAGCAATATTGAATGATAACAACTGTTATTTTTATTTCCTATGGCTTCTTGAATAGACTAGAGAAGGAATCAGACTTTTTCTTTAAAAGAGAGACACTGAGATCTGAGGATTTCAGTTTGAAACCAGCCTGGGTAGGAAAGTCCATGAGATTGTTATCTCCAATTAACTACCAGCAAACCAGAAGTGGAGATATGGCTCAAACTGGTAGAGTGCCTAGCAAGTGTGAGCACCTGACTTCAAACCCCAGTACTGACAAAAAAGGAAAAGCTCTCTGGCTGTGGGCCTCTAGATTTCAGGGAACCTAGTTCAGAGAGTTCAGAGAGCTTATTTTGGTCATTAGTTAAGTCTTCAGCATAAGGTCACATGCTTTTAGAAGAACCTGAAAGGTGTAAAACAAGTAGTAATGAAATAGTCAATAGGACTGATTTCTGCAGAAGAAGTGATCTTGGCAGTTTTGTACTTTTAAAAGGCATTAAAAGCTAGAGTTAATTAACCTGACCACATCACATTGCAAATAAGCAACAGAGCTGAACTTCATGTCTTTGATTACCTATGCTTGCTCAAAGTGGTAAGGATTCTAGTTACTCCTTAGTCTTCCTCATGATTCTGGATAGTATATGGAAGTAATATGTTTGGGTTTGCAGGTGGTTTTTGTTTGAGGAAATGATTATATCGAGTACCTAGAAACAGGCACCCTGAAAAGAGAAGCTGGTGGCAGCCTCTGGTAAAGGAATGCTGAAGCATTTTGAAGGGTAGTTCTTTGTTCATTCCTACAAACTGTATCTTAGAGTGAATGAGCCAAAATAAAGAAACTCAGTGAAAGAGGTTATAAGACAAAAGATCACACTTTAAAATGCATATGGAGATTTCATAGGATTTCTACACCATCCTTTTAAATTCTCTTCTTTAAAAGAATGTATTTCCTTCTTTTAAAATAGCAACATTGAGCAGTTTTGCTGTTACTTCAAAGAACTGCCTGCTGTAGAGTTAAGAAATGGAAAGACAGCGGGAAGGCGGACATACCACACCAGGAGCCAAGGGGACAACAATGTGTGAGTTACCAGAACGTGTCCTTTCTGCTTAACGGGCTTGGGATTTTCTTGCTTGAATTAATAGGCACATTTTTAAAAAGCTCTTCTAAATGTGTACAAGTTAGGTGGCAATTATAATCTTAATTGTTGGAATTCTTTCTATTTGCTATAACAGAAAGAATAAGTTTAACGTTCTACTTGAGTCTGAAGATTCGAACGTTCTAGAATTGACATGTACATAGTAGAATTTTAAGTGTATGTTTAAATGAGTCTTAGTTCATCTGAATTGGTTTGTTTGATAGTGTTAGGCAAACCTATCTTGGCTAATTAGTTTTAGCCAACAAATTAATTACAAGTGAACAGTCCATTTTTAGTTGATTTGGAAGAAGGAAGTATAGGCAAGTGAATAAGGACCAACTTTTATTCAGATTCATTGCAGCGTTCCCTAATTGGGGTTCAGAAAATATGCTATATAATCATGATTATATCGATACCTTTTTCATGTCTTTACAGGCATAAAGCGGTGCTTTATTATCTGTATGTATTTAATGGTTTTCCTCTTTGTTCATCCCTCTCTGTACAGCCAACTCCCACTCATTCTGTGTTGTATGTGTTTGTGTGTGTGGCAGCACTGGGGTTTGACAAGGGACTCATGTTCTCTAGGTAGGTTCTCTACTACTGAGCCATGCCCCAGCCCTTTTATGGGTTATTTTTGTGGCCTTGTGTAAGTTTCCACCTCGAAGTGTCTGGACCAAGATCCTCGTGTTTAACGCTTCCCATCGTAGCTGGGATGGCAGGTACATGCTATCACACACAGCTTCTTTTCTTTGAGGTGGAGTCTCATGGACTCAAACCTTTCTGTTTGGGCTGTCCTAGAACCATCATAGTCTTCTGCCTCCCTTCTAGGATGGAAGGCATATGCCATCCAGTTACTGCTTCAGAATAGGTCTTTCAGACTTCTTTTCCCAGGCTGGTCTCAAACCATGATCGTTTTGATCCCAGCCTTCAGTGTAGCTAGGATTACAGGCATGGGCCACCAGTGCCCCAGCCTGAAGACCACTTTATATAAGCAGACACTGCCCTGTGTTGGTGGCTGAGGAAGAGGAGCATAGAACATGTTAGAATGGTGATCATCCTGGATGGAGCCTCCCTATGGGGATCCTTTCAAGCCAGGCAGAGGTGGGGTTGGGATGACCTGACCTGGGTTCAGTGGAGGGCCTTTCCTTCTACAGCAGCATCCTATGGGATGAGCTGGAGAGGAGGTGTTGGCTGAGGGGTGGAGAGCAGTTAGGAAGGAGGGGCGGCAGGGTTATTGGTGCTTGACTCATCAGTCACTTAGGGATTAGTTACCAGTGCAGCAGAATTTCCCTCAGACGGATGCAGGCAGAAAAGGAATTCATAGAAGGGCTAGTGGATGGAAATCGGGTCTGGAGCCTGTGCCCCAACTGCATTCACCAGTCGAACTGTCCTGTGAGGACGAAAGGATGCTGCTTCCCCAGGGCACAGCACGGTCCTGCAGTGCTGCTTTTGCTGCCGTCGCTGTCTGTCTGTGGATGCTCTTTGCCTTGCTCCTGTGTCACCATTGTTTCAAGTGGACAGAACCAGGCTCCATGTCTGTGCTCTGACTGCGAGGGGGCCTGGCAAAACAGTTCTGCCTCCCACCGGGGGCTCTTAAGGGTGGGACCTCTCCAAATGTAGGAAGAGAGGTCAGGGGCCAGGAGGCCATGTGACTTGTATTGCAGGCACCTACTGGATTACAAGGCTTGAGAGAGAATATAGCAATGCTCTGAGATACCTGTCGAGTGAGTGTCCCAGAGCGTGGGACTTCGATGGACAGATACGGAAATTGAACTTGAAGCATATCAGTTTAACTACATGAGTAGAAAGTCACAATTTGTAGTGGCTTAAACACCTATTTTTTTTTTTTCCTCACGTAAAAGTAAGAGGTTATGATTCCAGCCTAGTCTCAAAAAGTTCAGGCTCCTTCTAGCTTTATGTTGCAGTAGTGTGAGGTGAGGCTCTCCCCGACATAGTCCCAGATGGAGCTCCATGTTAGAGCCTCATTCCAGAAACTAGGAAGGAGGATCAACAGGCTTAAGCATTTGGCTTAAAAATTAGCCAGTGCTTTGTTGTTTCCGTATGCTTATTTTAAATTGAGTATACAAATATGAAAGTACTTTGCATACTTGCAGTTAACCATATAAAAAAACGAGTTTTGCCAGTTTAAAAACCTTAGTTTTGCCAATAAATTACTGCTGTTTATATGAGCTTTTCTGGGGAGGTGGGGAGGGATTTGGGGAGGGGCAGAGGGTATAGGTTCTGGGACTTGAACTCAGGGCCTCAAGCTCTTGCTCAGATTTACTCTACCACCTGAGTAATATCTGCACTTCTGGCTTTTTTTTTCTGGTTCATTGGAGGTAAGAGTCTGAAGAATTTGTCTGCCTGGGCTGATTGAGGTGTGACCCACCAGTGCCCAGCTATATGGGCTTTTGAGATGATCTTAGTGGTCAAACTTAGTTCAGAAAAGGCTTATGTTTTAATTTTTTATTACATATTTTAGACAATGTAAGATTATGTTAAGGCTATAATTCTTTATTCTTTCCTAGGTCTTTGGTAGAAGAGTTTAGAAAGACACTCTGTGCTTTGTGGCAAGGTAACCAGACTGCGTTTAGTCCAGAGTCCTTGTTCTACGTTGTTTGGAAGATCATGCCCAATTTCAGGTGAGTGTTACAGAAGGTTCTTTGAAAATATTGACAATATGGAGTCTCTATACCACTTCTACAATTCTTGATAAAGTGGTGGTGTTCCAGGTATGCTGATTAAACAAATATGTTTATTTAAGTAAAGTCCTTCTACGTAGCTTATGTATGCCAGGAAAACATATTGGATATTTTTCCTTGATATTTTTGCTTGAAAGTCTTTCAAAGAATAATTGCTGTCATACATTCCTAGACTAAAGAATCCGGATGAAATCAGTAGCAACCCAGGGTGTTATGCTCACTGTTCTGAGGAGCTGAGTTATACTTAGAAGGTAGCTGTGCCCTGTCCTCGTGTGGCGGGCAAGTGACCGTTACCTGTGTTCGCTCTCTGCAAGTGCTGTCAGGAGTTCTACCTTACCAAGCGTGGATTCAGCTCAGAGCAGACAGTGCATGGTGGCAGATTTGAGTCCTGTGAATTGAGTAACAATTCTTAACTGCTTATATATTCTCCTTTGGTTAAACACAGCACACTGTAGTAAAACCTGGCAATTATTCCTGAAAAGATTGTTGCTAGTATAGGGAAATGTTTAAAGAGTAACAGCTTTAGGAAGTGGTGCTGTGGCTCAAGTGGTAGGGCACTAGCCTTGAGCTGAAGAGCTTAGGGACAGTGCCCAGGCCCAGAGTTCAAACCCCACGACCGACCAAACAACAACAACAAACAGCTTCAAAGGACCAAATTTGTTGCTTTGCTGAAAAATATAGCCTTGAGAATCTGACAGTGGCTGACTTCATTCTGGTCTTCAGAGGATTATTTAAACCTTGGTTTGTTTTGAGGTTGGGAGCTAGCTACTCCTAGGGTTTGAAATCAAGGCTTTGCACTTGCAAGGCAGGCACTGCACTACTGGAGCTATGCTTCTTGTCCTTTTTTGCTTTAGTTGTTTTTTTCTGAGTAACATTTATGCTTGTGCCTACCTGATCTCAGTTTCCCTAGTAGCAAAGATAACAGGTGAGAACCACTGTGCCAATGTCCTAGTCTTTGCTCTGAAGAAACCGTTTGTGTCATACCTTGTATGTCCTTTTGGGATAGACTTAAAAGAATTTTAGAATTTCTTGACTCTAAGGAAAAGTGGAATGATAGTTCAGATATTAAAATCAGGCTTGGATGTCAATACACACACACACACACACACACAATACACACACACACACACACACACACAAATATTTGTCAGTTATGCAGCTTAAACTCACACCCTAGGCCCTGTCCTTGAGGTTTTTTTGCCCTATCAATTTGAGCCACAGTGCCACTTCAGTTTTTGAGTGGTAAAGTGGAGATAAGAGTCTTACTTGCCTTTCCTGCCTTGCCTGGCTTTGAACTTTAGTCCTCAGTTCTCAGCCCCCTGAGTAGCTAGGATTACAGGTATGAGCTACTGGTACCTGGCTTTATACAAGATTTCTAACATATAATCACTCTTGGCAGGGATTAGGGTTCTCTAGTAGGATAGTTTTTGTGTACTGAATGTCTACTGTGTGGCAGGCACTGAGTATTTTAAATCTGGTGCTAAGTAAAAAACCAGCACCAACAAAATACCAGCCATGCAAGAAATGTTGTCCCCATTAGAGGAGTCAAAGGTGAGAGAACAATTTGTTCACCCGTTCCATGCCTAAACCACATGTTTGTAGTTAGTTCGTAATAGCCATGTTGGCAGTAATTGATTCCCAGGCCTCGAGCTGAGGCCTGCTACCATCACTCTGTTCTCCTTGGCCCAAGGGTGGCCAAGGTCCTGCACTCCTGAATGTTTGGAAACATTATTATGCCTTCTACCTTAACTCTAAATCTTCCGCATCCTGCCCTTTCTAGTTTCTGTAGCCCAGCTGTGAGCAGTGTAGTTTTTAGATGCTTAAGTTACATCTTTTACTGTTCTTACCAATGAAAGGGGGGAAAAAAAAACATTTAGAAAAGAAAACCAGGTTGAGGAATTTACATGGCACCTCTGGGGAGCGTTCAGATATACACCAGCTCTTAAATTTCCATAGTCACTGCTGAGAAGGTGCTTTTATATTCTTATCTGGACTTTCTTCTAATTGTGCAGTAATTGAGATTCTTCCCCATTTTCATGTAATCAAAGGTGTTTTTTTTTTCTTTGTTAAAGATCCAGATCTTGAGATTAAATCACAGGTACGGTTTTAGTGCAGTCACTGCTCAGCACCCAGGTGTGAGGCTGGGAGGTGGGGCTTAACGATTAGGTATGCAGGTAAGATTCTTAGAACATGGCCATGTAGAGGCACAATGAGTCTGGAGTTGTATTTCTATTTATCAGTCCAAGTCAATTGTTTTTCTTTACATTTGAAGAGCCCATTTTCCTTGATTAATGTCCAAAAGAGTCTGGGGAACTTGATCCCCTGGCTTGAAAACGAGGACTCTGAGGAGATGGAAGGTGTTCCTGCTTCTGTGTACATGCTGTACTTCCGTGCTTGTGTGACAAGGATACCCTTAATTATAGTATAGTAAATAGCTTTGTGTACAGAAGTGAAAGCTACTCCCCCCCCCCCTCTAATCTAAGCCAGTTACTAACAAAATTTTCCAACAGACACGGTGCACTTAACTTATGGCTCATCCTGCACCTTTTTCTTTTGTCTTCTTAATTGGCTAATTAATTGTTTTGAACTCAGAGCTCAAACCTTACACTTACTTGCTGGATGAGTGCTCTACCACTTGATTTACACTCTCCCAGCTCTTTGTGTTGGTTATTTTTGAGGTAGGCCACTGGGATGACAAAGTCACGTGCCACTACGCCTTGCTATTGGTTGACATGGGGTCTTGTGAATTTTTTTTTTTTTTTTGGCCTGGGCTGTCTGCAAATTGTGATCCCCCAATCTCTGCCTCTAACATAGCTAGTCTTAGGCCACCTTGCCTGTCTTAAAGTTTATTTATTTATTTTTGTCGGTACTGGGGCTTGAACTCAGGGCCTGGACACAGTCCCTGAGCTTATGTGCATCTTTCTTTTTGGGTAAAGTTTAGTTTTTATATTATTATTATGACTACTACTACTATTATTAGCCAGTCCTAGGGCTTGAACTTAGAGCCTGCACACTGTCCCTGAGCTGCTTTTGCTTAAGGCTAGTACTCTACCACTTGAGCCACGCACTGCTTCTAGCTTTTTCTGTTTATGTGGTGCTGAGGAATCAAATCCAGGGCCTCATACATGCTAGGCAAGCACTCTACCACTAAGTCACATTCCCAGCCCAAGTTTATTTTTTAAATAGGCAAAATACATATTGTTTGAACTTCATAAGATTCTTTAAAAATACACATAAAATGCATTTTTTATTTTACCATTATTTCTATTTTCTAGATGCAATTGTAGTTACTAGTTTTCAGTACTTATTCTTTTTTCAGTGATAGTTTGTGTATATATAAGAGCCCCTTACCAATGGTTATATGGCTTGTTTCTAATCTTTATTTCAGGCAGTCTGCTGTGAACGGTCTTAATATAAATGTAGGGATCTGGGCTGGGAAGGTGGCTCAGTGGTAGAGCACTTGCCTTGCATGCATAAGGCCTTGGGTTCGATTCCTCAGCACCACATAAGCAGGAAAAAAAAAAGCTGGAAGTGGTGCTGTAGCTCAAGTGGTAGAGTGCCCACCTTGAGCTGAAGAGCGGAGGGACAAGCGCCCAGGCCCAGAGTTCAGGCCCCACGACTGGACCAAAAAAGGAAAAAAATGTAGGGATCTAAAAGAAAGGTCTGGGTCAGAGTATATGGGCTTTTTGTAGCTTCAAAACTCTTTTTTTTTTTTTTTGGTGGGTTGTGGGGCCTGAACTCTGGGCCTGGACGCTGTCCCTCAGGAGTTCAACTCAATGCTAGCACTCTACCATTTGAGCACAGCACCACTTCCGGCTTTTTCTGTTTTTGTGGTGCTGAGGAATTGAACCTAGGGCTTCGTGCATGCAAGAAAAGCACTCTACCACTGAGACACCTTCCTAGCCCTTCAAAACTCTTATTAGCCTTCATTCTCCCTCACTTTCTTGAGTATGGTATTACCCTGTCACATGGCATCTTTGCATGTTTTATGTGTCTGCCTGCTAATATGTGTCTTGCCATCCCTCTCTCTCTTTAGGGGGGAGAAGAGCTTGTTGTTTGGGATTGCACTCAGGGCCGTGTGCTTTGCAGGGCAAGCACCTCACCATACTTCACCCACATACCTGTCTCCCCATCTCTATCTTTAGGATCCACCTGATGCTAAGATTCCAGAAAAACTTCTTAACGTATCACCTATATGCAATTTATAATTTCATGAGTAACTTGATTTATTTACCTTGACCTCCCTCAACAGAACTTTTAATTATCAGTTGTTTTTTTGTTGGTCATGGGGCTTGAACTCAGTGACTGGGCACTGTCCCTGAGATCTATCACTCAAGGCTAGCTCTCTACCACTTTGAACCACAGCTCCACTTCGGTTTTCTGGGGATTAATTGGAGATAAGAATCTCACAGACTTTTTTTGCCTAGGTTGGCTTTGAACCATGATCCTCAGATCTCAGCTTCCTGAGTAGCTAGGATTACAGGGGTGACCCATCAGCACCCAGCTATAATCAGTTCTTGTTATAATGTTTAAACATTTTTAGAAGAATAAATACTGAAACCTTATTCTTATTTACTAGCTATCCTTAAGACACTAAACACTTTATAGTCTTTGTAAGGACTTGTTCCTTGCATGTAATACTTTCTTTTCCTTCTTTTCTTGCTGTGGTTTTTGTTTTTGTTTTCCATCATGGGGCTGGGCCTGGGCCTAGTCCCTGAACTCTTTAGCTCAAGGCGAGCACTCTACCACTTGAGCCACAGTGCCACTTTTGGTTTTCTAGAGGTTTATTGGAATTAAGTGTCTCATGGACTTTCCTTTCCAGACTGTCTTTGAACCATGATTCTCAGATCCTGAGTAGCTAGGATTATAGGCGTGAACCATCTCCAGTTTACATATTTACTCTTTATCAAATAGCTGGTTCTATGTAAGTTAAAGAAAATATGCCTATAATGTTTTATAGAATACTAGGAAAAAATGTAGTATTTTGATAAAAGCTAACATACATATTAGGCAGATTTTTTTTTTAAGGGATGGGTAAGGGTTCACTTGATGAAAATGTAAACCACAATGTACTGACTTTCATATAGTATATTTTAAGAAATGTGATAACATATAGTAGTACATATTTGAGAATGAAAAAAATTTTTTTGTCGTGGGGCCTAAACTCTGGGCCTGGGCGCTGTCCCTCAGCTTTTCAGCTCAAGGCTAGAGCTCTACCACTTGAGCCACAGCGCCACTTCAGCTTTTTTTCTTTTTGCTTATGTGGTGCTGAGGAATCGAACCCAGGGCCTTATGCATGCAAGGCAAGCACTCTACCACTGAGCCACCTTCCCAGCCCGAGAATGAAATTTTTTGTATGTGATAGAATTTCAAATAATACTGATCTTAACCATGGAATTATAAAAACAAGTGAATATTTCATAGAATATGTTTAATGTATAAAGTTCCCCCTTAAATACGTAAGTGAACTAACTTAGGATGTTTCCAGTATGAAGCAAGGGAATCTATGATTGGCAGAGTGTGTTTACAGAGGGTGATTGACTCAGAGATCTTTCCATCCATGCTGGCAAGATGTTGGCAGGAGTCCGTCCTGTTAGAGCCTTTTAAGAGAATTCCTTAATTTTTACTTGATGTATTTTATTAGCCACTGGTCTGTATTAGCTTAACAATTCCATGAAGTTTCTTAATATGGTGTAAGAAGTAATATAAGAACATGTTGAACAATACATTTGTAACATGTTTAAAAGGGGCTTCTTGGAACAGTGACTAAGGTGTAAGTACAGAAACATTAGTTATCTTTTACCTTAAAAAAATTCTTCCTAGGGGGGTTGGGAAGGTGGCTCAGTGGTAGAGTGCTTGCCTTGTATGCATGAGGCCCTACGTTCATTTCCTCAGCACCACATAAGCAGAAAGAGCCAGAAGTGGCGCTGTGGCTCAAGTGGTAGAGCGCTAGCCTTGAGCTGAAGAGCTAAGGGACAGAGCCCAGGCCCAGAGTTCAGGCCCCACAACCGGACCCCCTCCCCCCCCCAAAAAAAAAATAAATAATTCTTCCTAGGCTGGGAAGGTGGCTCAGTGGTAGAGCGCTTGCCTTGCATGCAAGAGGCCCTACGTTCAATTCCTCAGCACCACATAAGCAGAAAGAGCCAGAAGTGGTGCTGTGGCTCAAGTGGTAGAGCGCTAGCCTTGAGCTGAAGAGCTGAGGGACAGCGCCCCGGCCCAGAGTTCAGACCCCACAACCAACCAAAAAAAAAACAAAAAACTTCCTTTCTGCTATTCAAAAATGTGTATTTTTAATCTAAGGAGTTAAAAATTATAGTGCAGGTATGTATACACCTGTTTTTGAGCGAGGGCAAGTTGTGACATTTTAACATTTGAGTGTCTAGAGAGAAGTGTTTGGAAACTGAAGGTCCATTCAAGGAATGTGACTTCTAGTCTCATCTGCTACTCTCTAGCTGTGGAGACGGGAGAAATCACAGGCGTTTTGACCACTTATTTTTATTAGCATGGGGCGGGGGGGGTGTTCATTGTGACATTTCCACACATGTATACAATGTATTCCCATCAAACCCCCTTCTATCCACACTCCTTCATCCCTGAAGTGGAGAAGCCATTGGAGGACGTTATTACAAATCCAATTAGCTCTAAAATTCAAAATTATTTTTTCAAGAATTCTTTATTGAAATACCATATAATGTGTGTTATTAGTGGGGTGAGATGTCCTCATGGGCATAGGCCGCCTTTTCTGGAATGTTTGGCTGGAGAAGCAGAGCCTCTGGGTCATCACATGCTTCTATTTGCTTCTAGGGGCTATCAGCAGCAAGACGCCCATGAGTTCATGCGCTACCTTTTGGACCACCTCCATCTGGAACTCCAGGGTGGCTTCAATGGTGTTTCCCGCTCAGCAATTCTACAGGAGAATTCTACTCTGTCTGCAAGTAACAAGTGCTGCATGTAAGGTTTCCTTTTGTCTTTTTTTGTAGAGTGCTTTGGGTATCCTGTGAATGTTTCTGTGTGTTAGGTTAATTCTAGCAGTGAAGAGGTTTGTGGGGGTTACCTGGACATTTGCTGGAACTTCTGTGCACTTGAAAAAGTTCAAGTGGTCTAGCATCCAGATCACAAGTACAGCGTAGTTGCGTCTTAATGTGGTCATCTTAAAACTTGAAAAAACAGTAGGCATGTCTTAGCATTTTCCTCAAAGTACATTGAATGTGTAGTTAATTTCTATATACAAAATAAGTCTATACGTTCACTAAAAATGAGAGGTTTTTTTTTTTTTTTTTTGGTGAATTGTGGGGCTTGAACTCAGCCTGGTCACTGTGCCTCAGCTCTTCAGCACAAGGCTAGCGCTCTACCACTTGAGCCACAGCACCACTTGTGGTTTTCTGGTGGTTTTATTGGAGATAAAGAGTTTCATGGACTTTCCTGTCCCATGTGGCTTTGAACCTTGATCCTCAGATCTCAGCCTCCTGAGTAGCTAGGATTACAGGTGTGAGCCACTGGCACCTGGCTGCTTATTTTGAATGAGTTTTCCAAAAGACTATAATGAAACTGAAAATTTATTGAATTTAAGTTCTCAGCATTTTTTTTCTCAGTAACAACCAAACAATCCTTTTGGGTTACTTTTCTGTGTAATAAATAGTACAAAACATACTTTTATTTATTTTTATTTTTTTTGGTTCCGGTTGTGGGGCCTGAACTCTGGGCCTGGGCGCTGTCCCTCAGCTCTTCAGCTCAAGGCTAGCGCTCTACCACTTGAGCCACAGCGCCACTTCCAGCTTTTTTTCTTTTTGCTTATGTGGTGCTGAGGAATCGAACCCAGGGCCTCAAGCATGCAAGGCAAGCACTCTACCACTGAGCCACCTTCCCAGCCCACAAAACATACTTTTAGAGCAGAATCTTCATTTTTCTGGGGAAGGAATGATTTATTGATCTATATAGGAAGGGGATTTATAAGAAAAGATACTCCCCAAAGGAAAGAGTAATTTACATACATGTATGTCTGTCCCTCCAGTAGACTCTAGTATAAAAAGGGAAGGCCTTGACTTGGTAAAATTCTTCCGGCTAGCACCATATAAAATACATAATTTTAAAGTTCTGTATTTTGTCATGGCATATGCTTATTCTTACAGTCGGAGTGAGCCAGGAGTTTTCTTAATTATTTTCTCTAATTTCTTGGGCACCCTATGGAATCAACATCGTATATAATGTTTACATGATATTCTTTAAGCACCTGTAAATGCTCATTAATGTAAAGAACTTCAAGTTCCATTTTTGAGTTAGGAATAGAAAGAAGAAATTATCCTCAAATATTAAAAACTGAGGTTTCCTTTTATTTGCTTCAGTGCATTGGAGTAAGCATTTAAAAACCTGAGCGTGTTTGCTAAGTAAAACTAGAAGAGGTCCTATGCAGTCTGTGCTTACTCATGTTAGCACACCCAGACCTACCAAAGGTCGGGGAGATGACAAAAATAAATACCACAAGTATTGCTTTTAATTTTTGGGGCCTGAACTCTGGGCCTGGGCGCTGTCCCTCAGCTCTTCAGCTCAAGGCTAGCGCTCTACCACTTGAGCCACAGTGCCACTTCCAGCTTTCTTCTTTTTGCTCATGTGGTGCTGAGGAATCGAACCCAGGGCCTCGAGCATGCAAGGCAAGTGCTCTACCACTGAGCCACCTTCCCAGCCCCAAGTATTGCTTTTAATATGTAGCTAATGTCTAGCACTAGCTGGGTGCGGTGGTTCACTTCATGTGGGAAACTGAGGCAGGACCAATCTAGACTACATAGTGAGACCCTGTCTCATAAACAAAACAATCACTAGTACTAATGTAAAGGATCCTAGTAGTATAAGAATTAGTAATCAATATTTACACTGTTTGTATGTGCACAGGGAAGGAACAGCAAGCAGTTTTGAACTATTTATGAATCTTGTTTTGTGTTACAGTGCACTTAGATGGTTACACTGCTTTGTATTGTCCTGTTTACATGAAAGGGTTGGTTGAAGTCCTTTGTTTGCAGATGATTTTTCCCCCTGTGTGTTCTTATGGCTCAGTTTTAAACCTAAAACCCAAAATGTCCGCTGTGTGTTATGGTTCCCCTCTGTTTGATAATTTTCTAGTCTGTCTGATAATATTCTAGTCAGTATGTCTTTCAAATGAGTTTTAAAACAATAAACTTAGTCTATTTCTTTGGTCAGTAAAGGAAGGAAGACCTTCCATAGAAAAGAAATGAAACTTTTCTAGTTGAAGAATTGCTTAGGTAGGTTTAAATTGGAATGGGTTAGAAAGTACAGTTCAGTTCAAGAATAACTTATTGCAAATAATAGAAAAGAGCATTTTCTATTAGTCCAAAGACTACTGTACAAGTTGATTGTATAGGGTTTTTTTTTTTTTCCTGGTCGTGGGGCTTGAGATTATAGTACCGTTAACCCCAGCAAGTGACTGAGGCCACCTCAGATTCATTACCATTATCTTGGTTCAGGTAAGAGCGCATTACATTATGAGAAGATGCTCAGGCAAGACCATCTGTGGGATCCTGAGCCAAGTTACTTATGCTCTGTGTCTTGGTTTCTGGATTCTGAAAAATGAGGATAGCAGTATCTGCCCTCTAGAGCTGTTGTGAGGATGACTGACCCAGTAAAGGAGCAGTGCTTAGAGTGGAGACTGCATGCAGAAAGTACCTTTCAGCGCCCGCTGCTCTTGCTTGGTCCAGAGTCTGTGGTGTGCGCACACGGTGGCAGGCATGCCGTCCTTGGAAACAGTGAGGTATGTGACCTACTGTACAGACTCGGGGAATACAAAGCAAGAGGCAGATGTGGTCTGACCTGATGCTAATACTGCCAGTGCTTTCTTCTTGCACACTGCTCCTAGAACTCATCCCACTTTCATGCCAGGCTCTCAGGTCAGTACTCTTTCTGTTTACACTGGCTGGAACTGAGGCTTAGAGAGGTTCTGTCACATTAGGACAGTTAGTTCTTAAGGTGGCACATATTTTTATCTCCACAAGAAACTGGTTTACAGTGGGAGGAGCTTTTTAAAAAGAAATATTCGGGCCCAGGACCTTGAGTTGTGAAGTTATATCTCCAGCAATAATGACTAAATCTGTACTAATTTTTGTTTACATCCTCAGATTAAGAATGTTGTTCAGAGTCAAGTGTATGTGATGAGAGGTCATGCAGCAAACATCCAGTACATCCTAAAGTGGGGGTGAGGGTGAGCATCGAAGGAGAGGCCAGGGTTAATTACTTCTAGAGAAAGTGCAACAGGGGAAGGCCAGTGGTTAAATCATTTATTTAGTATATGCCTAGAGAGCTTTGAAGTTTTAATCTTGTAATTTAAAATATAAATGGTATACACAGGAAGTTTCCTATAGGAGCCTTTGCAGAAATTTAAGTTTTTCACTGAGATGTTTCCTCTAGAAACGGAGCATCGACGGTGGTCACAGCTATCTTCGGAGGCATCCTTCAGAATGAGGTCAACTGCCTCATATGCGGGACGGAGTCCAGGAAGTTCGATCCATTCCTAGGTAAGATGTACGGGCCTGTTTATGTCGTTACACTTGAGAAAACAGAGTAGTGATTACTTTCTGCATGTAGTCACAGGCCCTTAACAGATATTTTCCTCTGTCCTTTTAAGATCTTTCATTAGATATTCCAAGCCAGTTCCGAAGTAAGCGTTCTAAGAATCAAGAAAATGGACCGGTGTGTTCATTACGAGGTAAAGATATTTTAATGTTCTAGAAATTTCTTTAAAAACGGAATAGTATTGAGTTCTATTTGTGTTCTGTGCCGCCTCTTGTCTTCAATGTATCTCTGTTGCAATTTTACTGCTCCCTAAAATTCTGTTGTGTCTGTTTACCACATGATGGTATTAGAGGATGCATAAACTATCTTTGTTTTCTTACTATTGGCTTTAAGATTGGCAGTATATAAAAGAGAAAGTTTCTCACCAAGCCTGGGTGCCAGTGGTGCAAGATCAGCCCAGGCAGAGACCTGGCCTGAAGCCCCCATCTCAACCAGTAGCTGAGCACATGGGGTCAGGGGTATAAATAGGACAGGTCTAAGGCCTGTGCAAAAGGACTAGAAGGCATGGCTCAAGTGTTAAGTATGAGCCCTGAGTTTAAACCCTAGTGCTTTCGAAAAGTTTTCTGACCAGATGAAACAAAATTTGGTCTGAAAGATATCTTACTAGTACCTCTAGAAAGAAAACTCAGCACATTTTTTTTTTGGGGGGTCCGGTCGTGGGGCCTGAACTGGGCCTGGGCGCTGTCCCTCAGCTCTTCAGCTCAAGGGTAGCGCTCTACCACTTGAGCCACAGCGCCACTTCCGGCTTTTTTCTTTTTGCTTATGTGGTGCTGAGGAGTCGAACCCAGGGCCTCATGCATGCAAGGTAAGCGCTCTACCACTGAGCCACCTTCCCAGCCCCTCAGCAAAATTTTTATAAATTACACTAGTTCTTCTTTTACAGGAATAATAGTTTGAGAAATCAGTTTATCTTATCTGTTATATCGAGTTTGAGGCCTGCTTTTTAATCACAAGACCATTAAAATTCACACTTACTTTGGGAGACCTTGAGCCAATTCTTTAATGAGCATTAGCTACTTCAGTCAAGGGGAAAGATCTAATTTAAAATTCATGGTGAGAGGACGCAGGATGGCACCTTGCATGTCTGCTGCTGAGAGAAAAGCCTGGCAGGGAAGGAAGAACTGCATCTTGTGGAGAGTGATTTGGGGAGACTGGGAACTAGCAATCCTGGAGAGCAGAGTGGGGTTGCAGCGCTTCTGCCTGGTGCTGGAGAACGCCAGCAACCAACCCCGCCCTGCTAGACACCACCTTCCGCCAGCAGCCAGCACCACTAGCACCCTCTCCCTGGGAACCTGAGATGGGTCCAGACACAGTTCTAGAAACACAGCTGCCAGTGCACACTCCAGCACTACCTGGCTCCCCCTGGGGGCCGCCTTGTGTAGAAAGCCCGAGCTTACCATTCCTCCCCCACAGGTCTGGGGGAGGCCCCCTCTGTGTCCTGAAGCTCCAGAATAGTGGCCCACGCCTGCCTCACAGGAGGTCGGGAAGGTTGTCTTATAAGGTCAGAGCCTTAGGACTGTAACTGCTGATACAAAATCCCCTGGCATTGCCCAAGCTCGTTGCTTAGAACTAGGGGAATGCCCCACAGCAAGTGCCACCAGCACTTGCCTCACATGACTGCCTCTACATCTTCAGATGAGCCACTCGTGCTTGACTTTCAGAACTGTGGGCACCAGTGCTATAAGTCCAGATGTGACCTGTACATGCAGTGGGGGATCTGGAGAAGGGCTCTGTAGCCCACAGACTTGGGACCATGGCTACTGGTGTCGGATTTACTTGCTCTTGTTCTTTGAGACCTGGAGAAGGTACGATCGTTGTACCACAGCTCTACAAGACTGGCTCCGGTGCTGAAATTGCCCCACAAGACTTAGGTAGGGAAGGTCCCCTTTGAGTCCCATAACTCAGTCTGCCATTACCAGTGCCACAGCAAGCATCAGCTGCGCACATCTTGTGGGACCTAGTGGAGGTCCCATCCCATCCTGTGGTTCAGGGACCCGAGCTGCTGGCTCACAGCCCTTGTGCCCTTGTGCTAGCCCTCTAGGAACTGGGCACACAGGCCGCAACATCCGACTGCAGCCTGAGGACGTGCCCTCTGAATGCTTCCAGCGGTGGCACAGCCAGGTGGCCACCTCCACGGACTGCTTCAGGTCGAGACTGGAGTCGAGGCACTGCTGACATTTGTCATCGAGTGCTGATCCAAGCACCACGGTGGCCCCCTTCAAATCACGAACCTCAGAGGGACCCCGAGTGATGAGGGACTCAGAGTGCTAGCTAGAAGAATCAGGGAGTCCAAACCTCTCCTTGAGGACTGGGAGAATGTGCAGTTCCTGTGGTTTTGTGGGGTGCCAGCCCTCCCGCGAAAGCGTCCAGTCCTCTGTAGAAAAATTCCGCCTACTGGTTCTGCTGTGACCCTCAGCTGACCCTCAGACCGCCTCGGCTGCCACCCCTCCACTGCATCCTGCGTGCATTCCACACACAAAGCGAGAGGAAGAAAGGGGCTGGCTGTCACACAGCCACACAGGTCCAGACACACAGCCTGCTGCCACCAGCTGCCTTCCACGTGCTCTTCCTCCTGTGAGCTGCTCAGCTAAAAGAAATCCCACCTGGCTTCACTGCCCTGGTGGCAAGCACAATGCCAGCAAATAGGGAGAAAAGCCCAAGCCAGTGCCCCGTGTCAGGTTCTGCCCTGGGTAGACATGCCCACAGTAGCAGCAGAGATGAAATACTTTTCTGTCCACACCTACGGGGTCCTCTGCATCTGGTGGACGTGTCAACAAGTTCCCCCGGATCCTGTCCCCCACGAAGCACCTGTTTCCCATCAGAGGTCAGGTGCTCCAGGTGCTCACCACTACTGCAGGAGCCAGGAACAGAGATCCATTCTAGGAGCAGTAGCCTGAGGTAGTCTCCGTCACCTACAGGGGCCATTCCTCCGATTTCAATAACCAGAAAGGATGGGCCTCAATTTGCTACCTACGGTATAGCTGCCTGAATTGCTGGAGTGTCCCCATTCTTGTCCATCCTGCAAAGACAGAGCATTCATATGTGCCTAAACTCACAAGTAACAGCCCAAGAAGGTACGCTGTTGTGTATCTGGAAATGGTCTCCATTTTGCATAATAAATTGCTACTCCAGGACACAGCTTGAGGAGGGAGTTGCTAAGATGCCCATCATAAAATGGTAGAGATAGCCAGTTTGGTCAATTGCGCAAATTTCAACAGAGGTATAAAAGAGACATGAAAAACCAAGGGAATATAGCACCTTACAAAATTGGTAATTCCCTAGTAAGAGATTCCTAGGATACCAAAGGAGATGAAATGCTGAATCAGATCCAAGAAACTACAGATATTTACATGAAATTAGGAAGAGAGTGTGGGATATAAATGAGAAATTCAGCAAAGACAGATTGTGAGAAAGAACCAGTCAAATCTAAGAACTGTCTTAAGTCAGGCTAAAAATACAGTTGAAGCCAGGCAAGGTGAATCACTTCTATAGTTCTAGGTACTTAGAGGCTGAGATTGGTCTTCTGCCAGCCCAGGCATAAAAGTTTGCAAGATTCCAGCTGGACACTAGTGGCTCACCCTGTAATCCTAGCTATTCAGGAGGCTGAGATCTGAGGATCAAGGTTCAAAGCCAGCCTGGGCAGGAAAGTCTGTGAGACTCTTATCTCCATTAAATCACTAGAAAACGGGAAGTGGCACTGTGGCTCAAGTGGTAGAGCGCTAGCCTTGAGCTGAAGAGCTGAGGGACAGTGCCCAGGCCCAGAGTTCAAGCCCCACGACCGACACACACACAAAAAAAAAGTTTGCAAGATTCCATCTCAGTGGCTGGACATGGTAGTGCCTGTTCCCCCAGTACTGGGAGGCAAAAAACACACACCTTTCATCCACAGCAACATAGGGAAGCACAAAAAGAATGATTACAACCAAGGCTAGTCTGGGCATAAAGTGAGAGACGCTACCTTAAATGGAACCAAGGCAAAAAGGAGCTAAAAGTGTTGCCTACCTAGCAAGCATTTAGCCCTGAGTTCAATCTCCAGCACTGCCAAAAAAGAAAAATATATTTAAAACAAATGATACAGCTCAGTTTTAGAAAAGAACCACACCCCCAAATTAGAAGGAAAGATCAGAATAGAAACAAATCAAATAGTCTAAAGGCTTTAGACTTACCTTTTAGATTTTAGAAGAATACAGAGCATCTGTGAAATGAGTTTGTCAGTTTTATCTTTTCAAATGATCAACCTTTAGCTAGACTTATTGAGACAGAACCTCACTAGAAATGACAAAGAGATATTGCAGCAGATGCTACAGAAATTCAAAGGATTCTTAGGGAGTATTTCGGGGAAACTGTGATAATAGACAAGAGAATCTAGATGAAAGTGAAATATACTGGACACATTACCTACCAAACAAACTCTTGAGGATATAAAAAGTGAATAGACCAATAGCAAGTAATAAGACTGAATCAGTAATAAAGTCTCCCCAAAAAGAGAAACTGAGCACTGGATAACATCGCTGCCAGATTTTACAGACCACTCCTGAGAAACCTTCTATACTAATTCTATGATGCCAGCATTGACTCCATTACCAAAACTGAAGTATCTATTGTGAAGGTATATACAAAATACACCACTTAACTATCAAGTTGGTTTCATTCCAGGATTTCAAGAATGGCTCAACTTACATGAACCATTAAGTGAAGCACATTATATAAATGAAGTAGAGTAGAAATCACATAATCGCATTAGAAGCATTTGATGAAATATGATAAAAACTCCAAACAAATTAGGTACTCAAGGCTCAGCTCTCATTATATAGTCAAAGGCTATAAATGCCTAACCTATAGCCAGTTATCACACTGAATGGGGAAAAACCCCAAAGCATTTCTTCTAAGTTCAGGAATAAGGCAAGATGTTACTCTAACTGCTGGTATTCACTTAGTATTAGAGATTTAGCCAAAGCAATTAGGCAAGAGGGAAAAAAAAGGAACTCTAGGGAAGGTGTGGGGGTCATTATCCCTCTATGCAGATGACATGACTCTGTACATAGAAAACCCGGAGTTTACCAAAGCAGGATTCGGATCAGTGAATTCAGTAAAGTAGCAGGCTGCAAAGTCAGTAAGCTTTTCTTTGTTTTT